AATCGATCCCCGAATCGACGCTCTTACTCCACCAGCAGAGGTGGGAGTAAGCGTCGTCGACGGGGAGCCGCGGAGGTCGATTTTGCCGCCGTCCTCACAGCGGGGTAAGTCGGCTCCGATAGGTCGAATTCAGCTACGCTATTTGCGTAGCTGAATTTGCGTATCTGAAATCGACCCCCCCCCGTAGTGAAGACCTGCCCTAAGGTAAAGGTAACTTGCGAAGGAGACGAAGGGGGAAAAAGGCTTTATGCTTATTTAATTATTTATTTACATGTTTGTGAGGTAGTTAGGAGGTCAAAAAGCTTTTTAAATTAAAAGACAAACATTGCTGCTTGTTTTTTACGTTAGAAATTCAGGTCTTGTCTCCCCTGGAAGACTGTGGCAACTGGAGAACTAGTGCAATTATGACATCATGAGAAGCAAAAGATTGAAAGCTGAAGAACAGTTAGGGGAAGGATATATAGTCAGGCTGTTTAAAATACGTTTTTGTTGTTCATTTTTATTATACCTACTTAACTGCAATGCCTATTGAACACTTTGATTTGTTGCCCTACCCCTTAAGTTATTGTGTGAGACCTCATAGTACACATCTCCTGAGACTTTCAAAAAGTCCTTCAGCAAGAGAAGGGAAGATCAGGTTTGACATACCTCATATTTCTAAGGTAAAAAACAAAATCATTCCCCTGCCTCCGTTTTAAAAACCAACAAAAAAAGCTATCATAAAGAAGCAATAAAGGGCGCAAATCAAATTCCTTTGCAGGTCAAGTCATGTTTAAAAGAAAGTCGTTGAGCTTGTTGTCTAGAAATGTGTGTAAAGTCCACTTGAATATTCAACCTGACCTGCAGAAAGGAAGTGTCTTTTGCTTTTATTTTTTGAAGGAATGAAGTGTGTTATTCAATGGATTTCATTTTGCATAGTAGAAAATCCTTTGCAGGATAGGAAGAACTTCAATGTTGCATTATTCTGATATGTAGCATACAAACCAGTGAGACAAGACCACCCCTTGGGATTCCAAATATATTTAAGAGGGTATTGAGAAGAAGTGAACATTATCCCTATTTTCTTTTGCAGCGGAAGTCAAAAGTAGTGCCCATAAAGAACCACCTGGCGAAGAAGTATCAGCCACTCCAGAGGGACAGAAAGGTATAGAGAAGGCAGTGGAAAGTGCAGAGGCAGATACCAGTAGTGTTCGTGAGTATTACCTGCCATTACACAGAGATTTCAGTACTGACCCTAGGGTAGTCTTAAGTCTGCATACTGGGCAGTTCCCTGTTTGTTTTTTTTGGATGGGGGTAAAGGGATGGGTGGGGAGGAGGAAGGGGTCTATGGTTCCAATTCACACCAGTGTTTGTTGTGGGCATCCCGGGGCTAGGGTTCATTCCATGATGAACCAAGGTAATCTGTCAGCCTTTGATTGATGCGTGCTGTACAACACAAAGATGTCCATGGTGGACCAATGCATCTGCTTCTTCTTGTGTGTTGATGAGAAGCCAGCCAAAAGAGTGTTCTGTGTATTCTGGGTTCACTGCTCAGGCTTGAAAAGACAGGAAGTAATATTTTCTAAAAATACTAGGCCTGATTCTCTATTGCTTGGCACCTTGTTTAGAAATTTACATTATTGCATAATTCTGACCTGGTAGCATTTTACACCTACTTTGCATTAGGCTGACTACACAAGGGAGAGGAATCAGGCATAACATATACACATTGGACTCAATCTTAGGCCCCATGCTCCCGATATGGCATGGGGTAGAACTCTCCTAGCTCGTAAGATTTTGACCCTTTTAGGCAAAGTAGTGGTGGGCAGTATGTGAGACACTCATCTTAGTGGTTAATGTGAATCACCTCAAAATTTCCAGCCAGTTCCTTCTTGACCATGGTCGGTGATGGTTCTTCCTGAAGAACCAATGTGCTGTCCTCAGTGGTTGTTGCTCCAACTCTCTCCTGACCCACTGTCTGGCCTTCGACAATCTATGCTTGTTAGACCAGCTTCTTCAGTCAGAACTGTAATACATTCCTTTAGTTTTTTGCCTCTGGTGCCTTTCTTGTTGCTCTGGATTACTTAGTCCTGAGAATGTCAACTCATTCAACCCGTTTCAGTCATTGCATAGCTAGCTACTTTCATTATGATAGGCTTATTCTCTGGGTGTTTTGGGTCCAGTTTTCATTTTAGTGCTTGAGTAAAATGTTATAACAGAATATTGGCACCCACCATTCAGGGCACGGTGTCTATTGTGGTTCTTTGCAGGATATTTTGTTGGAACTTTGGCACACCGTGTCTTGGCCCTTCAATTCATTCTTTCTGTCAATGCACTTTTCCTTTCCAGGATGTGCTCCTCTCCTTCTCTTACATTCTAAATCACTTTTAAACAATGAAATCCACTCTGCATGAGCAGGAAATCCATTGTAGGATAGAAGGAATTTTAATGCTCCAAGACTGTGGATGCTGCATTATCCAAATATGGAGTGTGAGAGCAAAACACAGAAATATACCCTGTTTGGAATGCTGAAGAAGTGAAAATTATCCCAATTTTCCTTTGCAGAGGAAAGCAAAAGTACTCCCTCAAAGAAACCATCAGGTGAAGGAGAGGTACCACCAGTTCCAGAGGGACAGACAGAAAGAGTAGAAAAGCGGGGGAAGGTGCTGAGTCAGATAGCAGCAGTACCCGTGAGTATTGGCCCCTCCCTAAGAGTCATAGACATCAACTTAAAAAATCCTACTGTATCCTGAATTTGCTTTTGTTTACCTTCTGTTGTTAGAAGTAACATAAGGCCACTGTAA